TAATATATTTCAAACTTCAAATTTCCCTTATTTGAAATTTATTTTGGTTGACGTTAAAAAGCTCAAATTAAGAAGATTTTTAATGCCTCGAGTTCCTAGAATTTGAGTCGTGCTTTAAACGTTATTGTCGCTGTTGTCATACAGCAGTCGCCGTCCACCAATACATAAAAATGTTTTCCCTAGTATTTGCTCACTGTAATACATGATTCCAACTAAGCCCATGTACCATAATGATATAAATCATTACACAGGCCGCTTGACATTCCAATTAGTTATGATTTAATGCAAAGGGAGAATTAATCCAAACCATATATTACTCCTCGACATCACGTAGGAACAATAAATCCAGAACAGGTGGGAAAGTCACGAAAATAAAATCTAAAAATGAGATAAAAAAGACAGCATTTAAAATGATAGAGCATATCTGGCCTCAACAATTAATTATTGCAATAATCACATGTAGTCCCACAGCATTTAAAATTGAAGAATTGCACAGCAATGCAATTCCAAAGGAGACTACACTTGCCCAAGTTGCGTGTCCAATGTAAGTGAGAAACTGTAAAATAGTCTTGCACATGTTTAGAGGTTCTAGAAACTGGCTAGCCAATATAGGTCTACTGGAAATCAGCCAAAGTGGGCTTGTTAAGCCTCTCACACCAACAGGCAAGTTAGGATTTGAGTGTTACAGATGGTATAAGATCAACATACATGGGATTCTATTTGATGCCATGAAACAGGCAGGTTAACCATACACGCACAGACGGATGGAGGATGCTGGAGAAAGATTATAATAATAACAATACAACGCAAGAAGAAGAAGAAGAACGAGGGCAGGGGCGAAGACTGCCTTCGGTTTTTAATTAATTTGAGCCACAGTTTTTTTTTTTTTGTTTAAAGGATTCAAATCTTAGCATGTCGCTCGGATACCAATTGTTGTAATTATTACAATGATCATGCTAAGAATAAGAATCACATATATTAATTTATGGTTCGAAATTCATACATGCGGAAGACATTGTTATGTATGAATATTACCAACTAGATCTTCCTCTCCTTGCTCCTCAAAATAATCAACCGTCAATGGGACAAGCCAATAAACGGTATGGAGAAGAGAGTGGATCTAACAATTATNGCCTTCACTGGTGCAAGCCAATACGATATGGAGAGGAGAGTAGACCTAGCCATTATATAGGAAATTATAAAGTCGGCCCATTACCGACTCTAACCCTAATTAGGGTTTACAACATTCCGACCCACATACTTAAAATTACCACATTATAAATAATAAAGCTTGTAAGGTGTACAATGACCCAAGTGATCACTAACATATTGGACATAATCATAATATCATTGCAAACCATACATCTAACTAGTAAAATTCGCAATCAAATGGAAGCCCACATAATAGAATTATTCTAACAAAAAATACATATAATAGAATTTAAAAGAGAAAAGATGAATAAGGTAATCAAGTCTCCATGCATACCCTATTGTTGAGTTTCTTCAGATGAATAATAAGCTGGCTTCTCACTCTTCTAGCATCTCATTGGTCCTTGCACTGTAATGATCAGCCGTGTAAGAGTACAATTTCTGAACGAAGGACTAAATGATGAAGTAAAAAGAAGACGTGAGAAATGTTAATAATTTACCTTTGATTTGACCTCTTATACAATTTCAATATGAAAGAGGTAGATTACTATATTTTGTCGGTAAAAACAGCTACAAATTTGTATGAAGCTAATATAGAATCTAATTATGCATGATGGAAGTAAACCATCAGCGTGAAAAGTTTTATTCAGCTCTAGAATGACATCTTCCGCCTGAAACATTTAAGTAGAGCATAGTTCATGGTGAGCATAGAACATCTGCATATACCTAATTCTGTAATAATTCCCTGCTTAGCATAGAATATCTGCGTATACCTCGAACCACCCAGCTTCTCCCTCCTGTCAATCCACTTCTTCCACAACTTGGGGAGTCCTGTTTAAAAACAACATTCCTAAGAGCATCTCCAAGAGACTCTATTTTTAAAGAGCATATTCTATCATTTGGAGAGCATCTATAAATTTAGAGAACTAAAATTTTGAAGTACTCCAACAAACTCTTTGTATTTAACACTTAATTTTACTACTCCCAAAAAATATTTATTATTTTTCTTTATCTTTTATTTTAACTAGCTTTTTTTTAAATTATTTTATTGTTTTCCT